CCCCCCCCCCCCCCCCCTCCCGCCCTCTCCCTTAGATCCGCCAGTGGTGTTCGCCCCGTAAAGGACTGAAAAATTCACACAATATTCCGACGGTAACAACCGCCAGCAGCAATTAACCGCTGCAAAGCTGTCGATGATCTCCTCTTCTGAAGGTTGCTTGCAAGTAAGCCAGTGGCGAATTTGACTCCCTAGCATAAGCCAGTACCAGTTTACAATCGAAATAAGTGAAGGATGGTGAGGAACTATCCTACTGGTGGAACCGGATCTTTGTCCTCCTAGACGACAAGTAAACTGCGTTCTGCGTCATGCTCGTCAGGTAGACACACTTAAAAATTTGTGTGAGCTTACTGCAAAGTAAATATGAAAAAATGAATCGAACTGCACGCCGGCAGCCATTAGCTTTTGTTTTAATTTTCTTTTTTCTATTAGTATACGAGGCGATAATGCCACAGAAGTTTCTGGTACAGTCCCGTCATTGCGCTGTTATTGTTCGGAAGCACATCAATTAGCAGAATTCGTTCCTGAAAAGCACAAAATTTAAGCCACAATGACGTATGCAAGAATTCGAATTCACATCCTGCTTTTGAAGAAGCTAACGAAGCGACAAAAAAAACTTCTACTATGTTATTATGGAACGATAAAATATGGGGAGATATCTTGGAATCTGTTTTAACTGAATTCACTCTTGTGAGAAAGCATCGCATGCATAGCTATTTAACTGGCCAATAAAACTGAATAACTTTACAATAAGAATTACCACATTTCGTGGTTTCGGGGCTGACAAGTTCAGATATTTCTTTGTCTAGAACAATGCAGTTCTAGAAGAACTTCTGCTTTCTGTCTGGAAATTTTTTGTCAATGAATAAATGAGTAACACTGTTGGCGCGCATAACGGCGAAGTCGCCTCAGCCAGCGGAAGACCAGTCTATGATCTGTTCATTCGTTTCAGTGGTAAATGGCTACTAGCATAAACCAGGAAATTAAACTGGCCATTAGTTTCTTTTCAAGTAATCCCAGAAAGAAGGAACCATCGATAGCTCTGTGAGCGGGTGACTACTGTTGGCATTTGCTATCACTCTGGGACACTTTCGAGTGCTTCCGCTTCACATAAAAAACAAGTACGGAAGGAGATTTTTGACTTTTTGAACAAGTGATCAATCCAGTGGTCAAACACTACCAGCAGTTGTAAAAGTGAGAACGTACTGGAGCATCCTTTTGACATTCATGCCTTTCGAGATATTTCACTATTGCGCCACAATCATCGCAAAAAGGAGTGCTGCATGCAGGACATTGCACATATCTGCATCCTTTATAGCGTTGATAACCGAAAGCGCAATTCGAACATTTTTTCGCATTCACAACGTTAAGCTCTACCTTATCATTATCACCTGAAAACACTTATACTGTGACAGTACTTTTTCACTGTAGTTCAAAATGACTTAATGTTACGCGTTTTTTCAGTTGTTCCAAACAACGGGCCCAAAGCAATCCAGAATCGTTAGGACAAGGCGAAATTTTGATGAGAGAAGAGGACACCATCCGGAACGCTGGAAGAATGGGACAAGTCAAAAAGCGCGTGGCTAAGAAAGAAATGGAAAAAAAAAACAGGAGGAAAAACTGCGCTGTCCAACAGATAGATTCTAGCAAAACGCGAGCAAACTCCTTTCTTACATGTAAATTTTCAAATTCTTTACTAGATTTGCACTAGCACTTCCATTTGCCACCTGAAATTTGCGCAAACGTCAATATTCAGCTACAAAAATTACAAGACATTTGCTGCAGTAAATGCTTTCTACGTCCTCTGAAGCACCAGAATTTTTGAATTTATAGCATCGGAATAACCATTAGTATTTCCCTCTTCTTATAATTAATGTTATCACATTCTACATATAATCAGCCATATCAGTTTTCAAAGCCTGTTTCACCTATGCGGTAATTCAAAGTGTTTTAGCGCTGTGTTTTATAAAGAAAATAATTCTGAAAATTGTTTTCGAGCTCAAATATGGCGTACGGGGCCTGTCTTTGCAAATGAGTATTGGTAGGGAGGAAAATGAACCTATAATTTTTGCCTTCTCCGGATCCCTCGAATCGTGACATGTAATTCTTTATTCTGGGTAACTGCAATTCAGTTCAAATAATTGAAGAAATGCAGCAATTATAATGTAGTTAAGAGAATTCTGAGCGGAAACTTTAAAATAAAAATTGGCGGTTAATGGTATGAGTTAGTCCTTCACTTGCGAATGGTACTGAATATAAGTCCGATGAAAATTTTGATTTTTTATGCACGTATAATGATGTATTTAGGTGCTTACCGATTCTTCGGAGAAAATCGTAATAATAGTTGGCAAATTCACATGGCACTGGATGATGTGCACGCCGTCTGCACCTCATATACCAGACGTATTGACAGTCACACACCACCAAGCGATCATTCGTCAACGGCACCTTACCAGGCCGGATATGCATCATTTTATCACACATTTCGCAATGCAAAAACTGCTCATGCTTCGAAATTCGCCGCCACAAAAATATCCTGTGCCGCTGGCACTGTGGCACAGGCAATAAATGGCAACACGCACCAGACTAGCTGGTGCGATCATGCGTTTTGTGCAATTCAGCCCATCGAACGATTGC